GTGATCATGGCTCACTGCAACCTTGAATTCCTGGGCTCAAATGATTCTCCTGCCTCAGCCTCCCAAAGTGCTAGAGTAACAGGCATGAGCCTCCACGCTGGATAAAGGCCACTTTTAAAGAATGGCTTAAATGTTGCCAAATTCATGTTGCTTAGAATGTTTTTTTTCTTTTTCAGCTTTTCATACTAGATTTCATCTCCTGTATCTTTTTAAAATTCATTTTTTCATCTTGCTCATCGATTTTTTCCAGTTTGAATCTTATCCCTATATCCATTTATTTAGAACTATTGTGGTGATGACGATACTGGGAATTTTGCCTGCTCATCTGTGTTCTGTTTATATTCCCTGTGCCTGGTACTTAGTTACAGGGATGAAAGATGACTGGATTGTGAGAGTCATGCAGCTAAAGTCTGACTTCAGGTCCTGAAAGAGTCCTGGGCTGGATGGCATGGTGAGGAGCAGCGCTTGTGTAATCTGAAGTCAGTGTGTGGCCCCCTCAGTGTGGGTGTGTTGCTTTCAGAGCGGGGAGATTCTAGGACACTGCAGTTCAAAGGGGCCCGGGGATCATTCACCTGAGCCTCTAGCCCTCATGACAGAGAGACAATGTCAATTACAAGGCAGGGGGCATCAGCATCCTGTTGCAGAAAGAGCTAGGCTTTGGGGTCAGATGGATCTAGGTTTGAATCCTGGTCCTGAGACTAACTAGCTGTGTGACTTTAGGATGAGATCTCTGTATCAGCTTCCTCTTATGCAAGTTAGGGATAATAATAAGAGTACTTACATCATAGGATTATGAGGATTAAATGAGCGAGTACATGTGGAAGAGTACCCAGGACGTAACAAGCACTGAATAAGTGCCAGCTGTTATCATTGTTAACAATAATAGAATATAAAATGCTGCAGTAGTGTTTGGTCAGTAGCATATCTTGTGGCATATCTTCCCCCCAGATGAGGTATGACTTTTGTTGTTAATTTAGGGCTGGCTGTAAATGCTTCTGAATGGGTTTCCCCCATTCAGGAGGAAATGCTATCCCATCACATGGGGACTGGTAATTCCTGGGCTGTAATTTTATGGACCAAATAGAAGGGCTTCTTTAAAGAGTAGAAGTTTGCAGATAGTCTTGTGATCTTTTCATTCGTTCCATTAGAAGCAAAACAGTAATTACAACAGATAACCTGGAGTTTACAATCCAGCTTTAGCCTTAGACAGCCTGCATTATTAAAGACCAATTTTTACCCAGAGTTCCTTTTAAAAAATATCCAACAAGTCTTGGCATAGTGGCTCATACCTGTAATCTCAGCACTTTGGAAGACTGATGCAGAAGGATTGATTCAGGCCAGGAGTTCAAGATAAGCCTGGGCAACATAGTGAGACCTTGTCTGTACAAAAAAATTTTAAAAATTAGCTGGGCACAGTGGCTTGCAACTGTAATCTGAGATATTTGGGAGGCTGACGCAGGAGGATTGCGTGATCCGTAATCATGCCACTGCACTCCAACCTGGGCAGTAGAGCAAGATCTTGTCTCAAAAGAAAGCAAAACAAAGAAACAAACAAAAACATTCAACAGCATTAGAGTAATTTCTTATAGAAAGAGTTAGTGTCTTAACTTTTATTCTGGGGCTTGCTCTAGGTGGTAACCACATGAAATAATGTTCACTATGACAAAGCCTCTTTTTCACCTTCTTTTTCTAAAGGTGCATAATTTGGGCACTGTTAACCTCTTTTAGGAGCCCTGTTTCTAAAGTATTTATTTTTGTCACTCTCTTCTGGATTTCCTGCTTTGGTTTTTTGACCTCCAGCAAAGATGTAGAAACGAGTGTGTGTCAAACAGTCTAGGCACAGAAAAAGAATGCAGTCCAGTCCTGTGTTTCCTGTTTCCTATGGGCTTATGAAAGCAGGGAGCCGTGGTCCACGGAGCCTCATGTCTTCCTGCTGTCCTTGTGCCTTTCCGTGAGTTTATTCTTTTTCTTTCTAATAGCTTTATTGAATTTTAGTTGACATACCATGTCTGTGAGTGTTTATGAGGAGTTCGACTTTGATTATTATTTAAACTCCTACAGGGTGGTAGAGTTTTGCATTTGAAGCCAGAGGGGAAAAGTAAAGGGCAGTCACATTAGTTAAGTGCTTGTCCTTCATGTAATTCATCCATCTTTTTTGAGCTGTTGCTCTGAGCTAGCATTGTGAAAGGCACTTGGGTAGTGGTTCAAGGACATGAATGAGGGAGCCAGGTTAACTGGGTGTGAATCTCAGCTCCACTGGTTATCACCCATGGGACCTTATGACTGCTTATTTAAATTCTCTTGTGTCTCAGCACCCCCCTCTACCAAGTTACGATACACATAGTATAGCAACCCTCTCATAGAGTCGTTTTGAGAATTAAATGAATAATATAGAATGAGATGATGATGATGGGGAGGGGTGACGATCTGGACTGAACCAGACACCTCATTGCCCTCATGAGTGTGCATGTGTGTAGGGCTGAGGTGCTGAGGGATGGGGCCGGGGTGTGAGATGTGAATAATTAATTACAGGTAATATAATGAGTTTACAGAGGAGAGGAGGAGGGCACTGTGGGAGCCTAGAGCAGGGAAGCCCAGGCCCCTCGTAGTCAGAGGAGCAGACTGGAGGAAATCATGTTGAAGTTGAGGTCTAGGGGAGGCTTGGGGTGGTGGGGGAGGGTGTGAGGGTCAGTTGTGTTCTGTGTTCTGTGCAGACAGAACAATATATGTGAAGGTCTGAGAAGAAAAGCAATCCCATGGTGTTTAAGCAACTGTGGATTGCGAGGAGAGTGGCAGGAGACAGAGCTGGCAGTGACAGCAGGAACCAGATCATGGAAAACTTGAGAATTATTTTAAGGAGTTTGGGTGACAGAGAACCAGGGGCTGTCCTTAGGGGCTCCCATTCTTTCTTTCAAGCATCACAATTCTGTGGTATAGGTGTTATTAGCCCCATTTTGGTGATGGGGAAGCTGAGGCTTTGAAAAATTGTCATTTGCCCAAAGACACAGGCTTAGAAGGTCAGTGTAGCCAGGATTTGAACCTCGGTCTCTCTGGCTCCATTTGTTACGATACCATATGCCTTTGGAACATGAAGTCTGGCTCTTAGCTTTATGATTTCAGGCCACCCTCTTAATATCCTTTAACCTCAGTTCACTAACCTGTAAAATAGATAATATGTAAGTAAGTATAAACCTTATATACTTGTAGAAACAAATTGAAATATATATAAAGGTCCAGGTATAGTGCTACCACTGCTTATGGACCCAGATTCTTACACACAGAAATGTTTTTCCTTCACAGTCCCAATGAACTGGGATGGAACCCCATGAACTGCCACCTACATGTTGGCTTGGTGGTCAGTCATTTTTCCAAGGATTAGTTGAAATTTACACAGACATCATCTTTGCACACAGGGAATTTACTCCCCTGGCTACTTGACATGTTCCGCTGATTGGGCTCTCCTCTCTGCCCTGCAAGCCCGCAGGCATTTGAGTCTGCTGGTAGGAATGACCCTGAGGCTTCTCTACTCTTCCAAGCACCCTTCCCCCTCGTGCGCTCCCTAATTGCCAGTTTCCCTTCTCTCCAGAGTCTACTGGGCCTGTTCTGCCTACACCTTAGGAAAAGAGCTCCACTGTGGGCTCAAAGTGTTATTTAACTTTTCTCAGGTTGGTCTTGAGGGCAGACATTGTCTCTTCTCTGTATTTCTTATGGTGATAGCAGAGTACTATAATAGGTACCTCGTAGATTACAGCTGCTTTTACCAGGATAGGGCTTTATGGGTATCAGTCTTGCTCTGTCACCCAGGCTGGAGTGCAGTGGTGTGATCTCCCAGCTCACTGCAACCTCCGCCTCCCAGGTTCAAGCAATTCTTGTGCCTCAGCCTCCTGAGTGGCTGGGATTACAGGCATGTGCCACCACATGTGGGTAATTTTTGTATAAGGTTCTTTTGTAAGTTTTTAAAAATCTTCATAGCAGGACACTGAAGTAGACAGGGCATTCTTTTAGTATGCCCTTTTAGTCATAGTCTTTTTAGCACAATTGGAAAAACTAAAGCCTGCACATAAGCAACATGCCAATTAATTTTTTTCTTTCCATAGGATAGACATTTACAATGTGTAACTCTGTCTCGGGGCAAGGAAATAGAGCTGAAAGGCATAATCCTATCCCTTAAGGATGAGGCAGATATTTGAACAAACAATTGTATACAGCAAGTAAAGTTTTAGGACAGAAGAATGGTGAAAGTGTTGGACTTTATTTGGCAAAGATCAGTGAAAGATTCAAAGAGAAAGAGATGCCAGCATTGGACCATCAGAGACTTCAAGACTTAGAAGGGGTGCAAGGGGAGGCATCCCAGGCAGAAGAAATGGCACATAGCAAAGCCCAGAGGAGGGAACAGACAGGCACTTTGGGAGGCCCTGTAGCATCAGCATAGCTGGCAGGAGATGTGTAGGAGATAGAGGGGAAAGGTGGCTATGATCCCATTGGTAAGACCCTAAGACTTCCAGAAGCAGGAGACTAAAAGGGCCCTTCATAGTTCCTTCCTCTTCATTCTCCTTCCTTCAGTCTCCTAGTCACTAGCACGTCTTCCCAGAGTCATACTCTATAAACTTCCTTTAAGCTCTGGATGAGCTCGCTGTTGTCCTTGCTTCTTTGCACCCCAGCTTGCCTGCACATAGATTTGTAATCTCCTTTTCATGCTAAAAGAAAACAGATTTATCACAGGAGGAACCTGAGACATGACAGCTTGGAGGAATAAAGGTTACCAGGTGAAAGGACATCTGCGTCATTTAGTCTCTGTGGCATGAGGTAGCTGAGAAGGAATAAAGTCCGTCTGTGACCAAACACCTTTGTTTCTCACTGGCAGGGTCACCAGAGGGGAGCTTTAAATTGCTCTTTAAATGAGTCAGACCTGTTCCTCAGGAGACAAAGCTGGTGCAGCTGGAGCTCTGTGGGAGAGTCTGTCTGGACCCCTCTCACTTTTGCCTGTGTTTGCCTTCCAGCTGTGTAAATGAGTATGGAAGATTATGATTTCCTGTTCAAAATTGTTTTAATTGGCAACGCTGGTGTGGGGAAGACGTGCCTCGTCCGAAGATTCACTCAGGTAAGGGAACCAGGAAGTGTGGGGTTGGGTTTCTCAGTCTAGCCTGAGGGACTGGGGGAATCCGTCAAGATGGATGGCCAGTCCCAATGCCAGCATCTTAGCCGTGAGTTCCTAATTCACCCTTTGAAAGCTGCATCTGCTTTCTAGCCTAGACAAGGGGTTTTAAAACCACCTCAAGAGAGCATGGCCCTGGGGGTCTCCATCAACCCTCCCATGCCTCTTCTTGCTTCCTTTAATGACAGAGGCAAGTGGTTTTGCTGTCAGTGTACAGTATCAAAACTAAATCATTAGATAAAAGTAAGTCACTAGTTAATAATCCCCAGGTGGAAACAAATGAATCTGGACATCAAACTGAACCTAAATATTGCAGATTAAACCAATCCAACTCTCTGCCTGTGCCCCCTTGCATCCTCCCAGGAAACTTGAATGAATCATTTTCATTTAGAACCAAATAGGTCAATTTTCTAAATCTCTTCAGTGGGAATGAAATGAGAATAGTGAAGAATTATCTGAACTGAATTGAGTGGTCCCTCTGGATTGAATTCTTATCATAAGATCAAAGTACAGTACTTTCGGACTGCCCTTTTCAGAATCACTGGTGGAGAATATATACTGCTTTTATATAGAAATGAGTGAGAAATCATTCCAAAGTTGACCTTTTTTGTATGTTTTTCCCTGAAAAATATGAATGGTACCCTTTTTAGGACCATTACATACGTATCTTGAATTTTTATAAAGTACTTGTTCAGCAAGTTGGGACTTGCTCCTCTATCTAAGGCATAGGATAGCCTGGCTCTGTGGAGAGAGCATTGGCTTGGGAGTTGAGACATGGGTTTTAATCCTGGTTCTGGCCCTGGCTTGCTCTGTGAGCCCGGGCAAGTTACTTCCCTTTCCTGGGACTCCCTGTTGCACATTAGGGGCTGGGTGAGCTCCAAGGCCCCTTCCAGCTTTGACAGTCTGTGGTTTTGTGCAAAACGAGAGAGGCAGACTGAATAACTAACAGCTATAGGGCCCACAGTCACTTTGGAAATGTCAGGGTTTTTCCCTGGTACGTGAACACAGAATAGAACCCATGCTTCTTACTAAGCCTTGGCTTCGTGAAATCAAAAGTAACAAGCCAATAGGCATCTGGGCTCAGTCAGCCGCCTTGGAGATATATTGGAAACTCCAACTGGGTTTTACTTCTACCTAACATTAGTAATATTTTCTGCTTTTGACAAAAGGATAAGACGGCAGAGCTGTAGCAAAGTTTTCAGTTTCCTTATCAAAAGTTTCTTTGACCTTGTCTTAGTATTAAAATGTCACTTAGAGATTATTCAACCTACCTCCATTATTCAACCTAGCTGTCTCGCTTTATAGATGAAAAGCTCAGATCTAGAGGGGCTAAATGCCTTGCTTAGGATTTCATATTGTGAGATTAGATAGAGTGGCAAGACTAGGATTAGAACCTGGATTCCAGATTTTCAGCCTGATAATTTCTGTCTCCTATACATTCTAACTTCTGAGACCATTCTCTTTAAAAGCACAAACTTGGCCACGTGCGGTGGCTCACGCCTGTAATCCCAGCACTTTAGGAGACCGAGGTGGGTGGATCATGAGGTCAAGAGATCGAGACGATCCTGGTCAACATGGTGAAACCCCGTCTCTACTAAAAATATACAAAAATTAGCCAGGTGTGGTGGCACGCGCCTGTGGTCCCAGCTACTCGGAGGCTGAGGCGGAAGAATCGCTTGAACCCAGGAGGTGGAGGTTGCAGTGAGCAGAGATTGCGCCACTGCACTCCAGCCTGGCGACAGAGCAAGACTCCGTCTCAAAAAAAAAAAAAGTACAAACTCTGTCATTAGATATGAAAATGTCTCTATTTTCAATAGTAATTTTTGCCAATAAGCACATTTTTCTTCCTTCTTATTTGTCTTTTGTGTCTACATTTTACCCCTCCTATCCTCTCATCTCCACCATAAACTCTTATTTCAGAGGCAGAATTATGTTTGTTTTTGTTATTTAGCAAACAGTTAAAATGAATTGGCTGTTTTTTAGGCACAAGGGTTTGGGGAAGGGAAGAATTTGTTTAATTTTTTGGCATTTGTTGAGCTGCAAAACATCTGGAGGTATAAACTTGAAACTTGGCAGCTTTTGTACCTGAGCCAAGCCAAAACAGAAGAAAATTGATTCAATATTTGAAAGTAAAGTTATGAATGTATGTTTACATCTTTTGCAGACATGCAGTAGAACATTTTGTTTTGGTTTGAAGTTCAATCTTTTAAGCTAAGACTTTAATTAAAGAACTCTTAATTAAAGGTGTCTGAGTTGTAGTTGCCAGAACTAATAAAGTCCATTTTACTTTAATTTCTGGAGAAACTGGGTGAAGAGTTCTTTTTTGATAGAATTTCTTGCTACCCCCAACTCCCTCCCTAAGCTTGTAGGAAACAATTATGTAACAGTAAATTGCATAAATTATACTTGTGACTTTGTTAAAATCCCATCTTTCTGGTTAAGTTTCCCGTTTGAAGTAAAGCATTTTGTTTATTTGGTTTAAAATGGCTTACATCAGCCTCAAACTCATTGAATTTGAGGCCCAGAGAGGGCAAGTGGTTTGTCTGAGGTTACAAAGAGATCCTAAGGCTGCTGCCTCCTGGTTTAGCGCTGTTTCTACCTCACTGTCTCCTTGATGACTTAATTCTCTTAGATGATCTTCCCAGTGTCATTGGCTTTGGTCCTGTGTAATTATATATGCATGGTACATTGCACTGAGGAAAACAGTGATCACCCTGAGGCAAAGGAAAATTCAGAAGCTTCAGGAGATCCAAAAAGACGTATCCCAAAACTGACTTATTCCTGCCTCTCCTGCTGAGTTCTTACTTGTTTTTTCGTATTGTTTTCCACTCCTGCAGCTGTCCATGCTCAAGACTGATAACTAGTTTTCAGTATCCTTGATTTTACCTCTCAGAAAGAACCTATCTGTTTGCCCCCACCTTCCAATTCTGATCTCATCCCTGTGGTCGCATGCCCTTCTTATCCTCATGTCCGATTTTTCTGTTTCATTCTTAAAATCACGTTCACCTGCCCTTTCTCAATTTTCTCCTTCACCTGTCTTTCTCTCCTTTTCCCTGTCCCCCTATCTCTTCTTTCAGCATTTTCCTCTCCCACTTTCTCCCTCCTTTCTCTTTCCCTCAGGATATACATACAAAGTTGCACAGGACTCCCTTGACAGGAGCCAGAGTTATCTTTTTTTTTTTTTTTTTTTTTTTGAGACGGAGTTTCGCTCTTGTTACCCAGGCTGGAGTGCAATGGCACGATCTCGGCTCACCGCAACCTCCGCCTCCCGGGTTCAGGCAATTCTCCTGCCTCAGCCTCCTGAGTAGCTGGGATTACAGGCACGCACCACGATGCCCAGCTAATTTTTTGTAGTTTTTTTAGTAGAGACGGGGTTTCACCATGTTGACCAGGATGGTCTCGATCTCTTGACCTCGTGATCCACCTGCCTCGGCCTCCCACAGTGCTGGGATTCCAGGCTTGAGCCACCGCGCCCGGCCTCAGAGTTATCTTTTCTCCCTGTTAACTCAGCTGAAGGAACGACCTGGTGATGGGTGGTGCTGGGGAAGAGGAGAAAGACTTTCATTTAATTATTTTCTTAGCTGTTCTTTTCTATTATTTCTTCTTCAGGGTCTTTTCCCCCCAGGTCAAGGAGCCACAATTGGAGTTGATTTTATGATTAAGACAGTGGAGATTAATGGTGAAAAAGTAAAGGTAAGGTGCTAAATATTCACTAAGGTGGTCATGTGCCATGTGAGAGGTTAGGGAAAGTAGTGCTTTCGTAGCATTTATTAAATCTCCTAAATGAAACCCACATTGAAACAATGCACTCAGCCATAATAGCTTATTTTCAAACAGTTCTAGTCTTTTTATGGGGGAAGGAAATAATTTTGGATGATGTGTTTACAGATTAGAAGACAGAGAATGGCTAAGGCAAGTTTATCCTGTCTCCTGTCATGCCACAAGTGACATAAAGACAAGAAAGAAATTTCTTTTTGGATCTCTTGAGCTGGCCCAGTAAGCAGGTGCTACCTCCTCTAAACTGCAGCCCCACGAAAGAGCCTCCGGATTTCTACGTTTCATTATGGGTCATTTCATTATGAATCGCTTATTTAAATGATCCCGTTTTTTATCATATTCTTTTTTTTTTTAAATTTTCTTATCTCTGAAAAGGAAAGACACTAAATGAGGGATACAGGAAAGGATACATGCTGTCTACCCCCTGCTTCCTGCCCTTCCAGCCGTTGTGGCTTCTGGATGGTTTGGTACCTGGAAGAAGTGTGGTGTGTTCGCGAACAGGAGAAAGGAAAGAAAGTTTACTGAGTACCTGTGATCTGTCAGTGCCTCTGCTGGGTGCTTTTACATGTGTTATGTTTATCTTAGTCCTTACTGTAAACCTGTGAGCTAAGTGGTATTATCCTTGTTTTACTAGCTTCAGAGAGGTTAAAGAACTTACTTATCAATGGCTACACATAGATAAGTATAGGAAGGTGGGCAGTCAGGATATAATCCCGTTTCACCAACCAGTACACCCCACTGCCTTTCTGGGGTCTCCCCTGCCATGAAAGAAGAGGGGAAGAAAGGCAAACTAGGCCTATCACCTGGTGCAAGGAAAGGAGAAAGGTGATGGAAAGAAATGTGAAGCAAGACTAAATCACCTGGAAGGAGGGTGTTTGGCACTGTGCTCTACCTGTGGTTCAGAGTTACTGAAATTCCACCATGCACTCTTCAGAGCTAAGCCTTACAGCAAGAAGTGATACCCCATGCTGGGTACACTGGCTCACGCCTGTAATCCCAACACTTTGGGAGGCCAGGAGTTGGAGACATAGTGAGACTCCATCTCTTCAAAAGACAAAAAATTGTCTGGGCATGTTGACGTGCACCTGTAGTCCAGCTACTTGGTAGGCTGAGGTGAGAGCATTGTTTGAGCTTGGGAAGTTGAGTCTGCAGTGAGCTATGATTATGCCATTGCATGCCAGCCTGGTAACAGAGCAAGACTGCAGTGAGCCATGATCATGCCATTGCACTCCAGTCTGGGTGATAGAGCAGTTTTATCTCTGTGTGTGTGTGTGTGTGTGTGTGTGTGTGTGTGTGTGTGAGAGAGAGAGAGAGAGAGAGAGGAAGGGGAAAGAAAAGGAAGGAAGGAAGGAAGGTGGGGCAGGGAGGGAAGCAAAGGAAGGATAGTAGCACATCAGCAACACAATGAAAACTGGCATTTTAGAGTTCTACCTTGATTCCCAACCTAAGCATCCTATGTTTGAGTCCATTTATTTGCATCCTTCTCCCATATGTACATACTCTCCTTCCTTCGAGTGCCTTGGGAAGAGCAGAGAAGCTCCATAATGCTCTTCAGCATTTTCTAGATACTTGCCATCACAGAGAAGTGTTCAGGAGGAGGCCCTTGAGTCAGGGCCAGAAGCTCTCTCAGTGTCTCTTCCAGGCCTGACTCCTTAAAATAGCTCCTACTGCAGAGACATCCACACCAAATACAGCAGTAAATGGGGAGCAGGAATGCTGGAAGATAAAAGCAGGGTATGAAATCCATGTAAATGCTAACTAGAAAGTGAAAAAAAATAGTGTGTGGGGGTGGTGGAGAGAAGGAGCTAGGCTGTGGGGACAGGAAGAAGAGTGTGCTCAGGAGGCATTGAGGGGAAGCGTCTTTTGTAGCGTTCTGTTATCCTAGTGGAGCGGAGTTAGTTACCCAAGAAGTTGGGTAAAGATACCTACTGTTTCATGCATTTTACTTCCAGATGTTTTGGTTTTCCATTCGTGTGTGTGTGTGTGTATGTGTGTGTGTGTGTGAGAGTTCATTTATTTTATCAGAAATACTAGTGCCTACTACCTTCCAGGCACTGGCCATAAATAAGGGTGAATAAGGAATAGTCCCTGCTGTTAAAGAATAGGCTTATTTTTCTTTCCTGAATTCCCAGGCATAGATATTCCATTTATTCTACTTTCTGCAAACCTTATTTTAAAGTGCTTAGTGCTTATTACATTCTGCAAAAATTGATCTTTTTATAACATCTGACTCCACCATAAGGCCACAGGCTCCCCAAGAGCAAGGTTTGTGTCTTACTTATATTTGTATTCACAGCACACTTTCTGTCTCCAGTACCTCTTCAGGCTTCTAGAACTTTATCTATAAAAAGTGACAGTTGGCTCATCTCCCAAATCCAGTCGAAATCCACTTGCCTGTGATTCTTTCAAGCCCAGTATATAAAATAAAGCTACAGAATGGCCCTCTTCAACCACATTGATTTAAGGGCTTCATTAACATGTAGGCATATGAGGAATAACTTATTTAATCCTTTCTTAGAAAAGGGAAAAACTGCACAGTTGTCTTTTTTTTTTTTTTGGAGACAGAGTCTTGCTCTCTTGCCTAGGCTTGAGTGCAGTGGTGTAATCACAGCACTGCAGCTTTGACCTCCTAGGCTCAATTGATCCTCTCACCTCAGCCTCCCAAGTAGCTGGGACTACAGGTGTGTGCCACCACACTCAGCTATTTATTTTTATTTTTTGTAGAGATGGGGTCTCACTATGTTGCCATGCTGATCACTCCTGGGCTCAAGTAATCCTCCTGCCTTGGTCTAGAGTAATAAGCAAAACTCTAAACTCAGTTTAAACCATTTTAACCTTAGGATGTTAATCATAATAGAAATAGAAGATTTGTTGTCTCTCTCTCCAATCAGATCTATGTTCATAGTTAGGAGTCAGGAAAGTATATATTTGTTTCTTCAATCATCTGTCCGTCCATTCATTCTTCCATCCTGTATTGTAGTAAATGTTTTGTGCCAAGCGCTGTGGTAGTAAAGCATCACTGCCCCTTAGGAACTTACTAACATCTAGCTCCATCTGTGAAATCTCCTTTAATACCCTACTAATCTGTTGAGCAAAATTGATCAATTCCTCCCTTGTGATTCCACAATCCTTTGTTCATTTCGTTAGCCGTCGTTCAACTGTTTCTACCCCATACTATGTACTCCGCTAGGAAGGTACTGGGGGTATAAGGTCAAATAGAAGACAGCCTTTGCTCTCAAAGAACTCAGTAGTAGAGTAGTAAGCCAATGATTGCAATACATGTGACGGTGAGGCAATGGAGGTTAAGTAGTGGTGTGAAGAAGAGAGTGGACAAGCAATGTAGCCCCAAGCTAGAGGCGAGAGTGGTTAGAAAGTCCACGGCTGCAGTATTGAAAACATTGACAGGTATGAGACTAACAGCAGGGGACACTTTCTTCCTTTTTAATAGAACGTCTTATATTCTACTATAGTTAATTAACTGTGTGTTTCCTTCCTGTAGACTGTGAGCTTTTTGAAATCAGGGATGATTTTATTCATCTTTATATCCTCCCTGTGTTTTATTCATCTTTTTATACTCCCTGTGCCTAGCACAGTGCCTTGCATATATTAATGTCCTATACATGCTGAAACGTGCAAATGAATTGCAGAGAATGGCCAAACCAAGCTGAGTAACAAAGGCAGTAGAATATGAATATCCTCAATAATCAACTGTTAGGTAGAAACAGGCATCCCCCATGAGAAGGTAACATATCTTGTCATGGTCACACAATCACTTTTCTAGAAAATATTTCAGTGGCTTTAACCCTCAAAGTTGTTCTCAAGATGTGAGAACACACTTGATTTCTAATGCCGAACAGTACCTAAATTGCAATCGCAAGTGTTTTAGGGGCTCAGTGCAGCTTTCAAACAATAGTCTGTTATTCTAAGACACAACCTGGCAGAGAGGAACCATGTCCCTAGGTTTGAGGCAGAGAAGAGAAATCGCCTTTGTCCCAGCAAAAACCATAACATCTTTATGGTGGCCTTTAGCATACACAGGCTTTCATGTATATCATCAAAGACCAGCTGCAACTTCAGATCAAGGAGAGCCTTTGTGTGCTGCTGATTCATGGCAGGGACTACGGGTCACTCAGCAGTCTCTTTAGCCAAGCTGTTATGAGCAGAGGGTGACACCAACAGATTCCATCCTCTTTGGATACAGATGCACATTTAAATTAGTCTTTGGTGGCAACGGCAGCGTGGGAGCATGGAATGAGTCCTCAACTGGAAATAGAAGGCCTGGATGCCAAGTCCTAGCTTTGTGAGTAACCAGTTAGTTAGGAACCAGAGTTTCCATTAATACGGGGAGGTGTATACTTGCCTACCTCACTGGGTTGTTGTAAAGATTAAATGAGACTGCCAATAAATATTTGATCACCTCCTGTTTGTCAGGTGCTCTGTTTGATAAGTAAAATGGACCCTGACATCTCCCTCGTGAAGCTTTCAGTCTAGTGGGAAAGACAGCTATTAAACAAATTATTACAAATTTTACAAATAAATGATTCAGGCGTGTCAGGTGCCATGAGGGACAATGACAGGATGTATTGCAAGAAAGACTGTGTGGAATGGGGGGTGGGGAACCTAGCCTAATCTGAAGGTTCTGGAATGCCTTCCTGAGGAAGCAGTCTTATGTCCCTGAACATGAATACACCTGAGACCTGCAAAATGTGTGCAATTAGAAGGAAAGTGTATTATTTTCGTTGAAGTTCTTATTTTTCGAGACCCTGTGATTTGCTACACTTAGCAGCCTCTCAGGAGAATAGCTGTTTCAGTAGCTGTCTACTCTGTGCAGAAAATTCAGGGAGAATTAAGAAGTATTGTCTTCTTTGTTATTAGAATTATTAGTTACTAGGGCTTAGAACTGGTAGACAACTGCAGAAAAAGTGAACCTTTAGCAGGTTGTGTGTTAGTAACCACTTTTTGTAAAGAAATTATTAAAGCCCAAAGAGATTAAGTGACTTGGCCAAGGTCATAGAGCTTAAGAGACCTGAAGGGAAATTATATTGTCTGCCATGGCATTATTCCTGTTTTCTTTAACAAAGATAATATTTTAATACATTCATTGGAATTTTGAACTGGAAAAGTGATGAGGCTGGATCTCCCTCCAGTTGCTAACTAAATGCCAACAGTCACAGGTTAACAGCTTGCCCTGTCTCTTGCCTTTTGTAATAAGGCATTGTGGTTAAGAATGTGGACTCTGGGACCACAATGCCTGGTTGAATTGGTTCTGGGACATGCTGGCTATGAGATGCTGAAGAAGTTAATTAATCTCACTGTGCCTCAGTTTCTTCATGCAAGAAATGGGTATTGTAACAGTATCCACCTCATAGGGTTATTTTAAGGAATAAGTGAGTTACCACAGGTAAAATGCTTAGAATAGAGCTTGGCACATAATAAAGGCTTGATGAATTTTATGTTTTTTTTTTTAAGAATAAAAGGGAAACTCTTAACAAAGAAAAAACAAAACAAAACAAAATAAGCCCCTTTCCCTAACCAGAAACACACCCAACAATTCTTTCTTTTTAAGTGCTTTAAAATTTTTTTATTTTATTTTAGGGTAGAAAATAACCATGAAATTATTTGGGTAAAGGTGTTCCCATTTCCAAACTAAAACAAGGCAAAGCTTTTTTTTCTTTTTTTCTCCAACCTGATCCTTCTCTACCTGATTCTTCTCTTATGCCTTTATAGCTACAGATCTGGGACACAGCAGGTCAAGAGAGATTTCGGTCCATTACCCAGAGTTATTACCGAAGCGCCAATGCCTTGATCCTCACCTATGACATTACCTGTGAGGAATCCTTCCGTTGCCTTCCTGAGTGGCTGCGGGAGATAGAACAATATGCCAGCAACAAGGTCATCACTGTGTTAGTGGGTAAGTAAGGGCTAAAGAGGAGGGAAATTGATTTGTGGGCATCAGAGGATTTATAATCACGTAAAGCTCATACGTTGGTACCTTCCAAGAATATAGTTCATAGCTAATAGTTCATGCAGTCAACCTTCAGTTCTTCTGTAATTGAAAATGAAATAGGTCCTTTCCCATGGTGACGGTTTAGAAAAATAAAGTAGAAAACATTGCTGATTGATTTTTCTATCAATGTAGGCTCTAGGGAAGAAGTTGGATGGCCATGAAAGTTATGTGAGCTGCTAAAAATTTTAAAAGTCTAATTACAAGATGACAGAAAAGGCTGTTCTAGAAGAAAACTATCTTTTAAGTTGATAAGGAATTCATTATTGAAGCAATTGTTTATTGCCTAAAAAACGGATTTTAGTTATTCTTCCTTCCTAACATTTAGCCTTCCTAACATTTAGGCTGATTTGAGAAATTCTATGTTTCACAAAGAATCCAGTAAGGGAAATGCTGTGGTTTATTTCATCTTGTAGGAGAATAAAATCTCTATTTAGTATGAGGGAAAGCATAAAACAACCATAGATTTTCTATGGTGACAGATATACGCATTGAAATGGACCAGATCATTAAACACTTTTCTATTTGTAGTGAAAAATATTAGTAACCATTTGATTGTTAACACATTTTCTTCCTAGACAGGGACGTTGCTATATAGTCTAGCAATACCTGAATTTTGGAAATTTGAGTAGAGAGCCTTAGAAGCATTGTTAAGTTACAAATTATGGTTAACAATAATAAGCTCAGAAAAGACTTTAGTGTTATAATTGGTATATATGTGTCAGGAATGATACTAGGAACTTTCTGTGTTGTGATCCCTAATTTACAGATAAGGGACCACGACTCAAAGAGGTGAAGTTCTTTTCCCAAGGTCGCACAGCATGTAAGATCAACTCCAAGCCCTGTAGCTGTCCAGCTGTAATAGGTTATGTTGTAACAAATTGCTGGACTTCTCCTTCAGGCTGCTGGGTGAAGCACCTGCGTTTCTATGAGCTAGTGCTCCCTGTAAATGCCTCTTGTACAATGGTGAACCTTTGCCATGGAGCATTTGAGAGGTCTGCATTTGTACTTTCTATTTTGCAGAAAGCCTTTGGGAACTTGAGTCAAAGTGTTACTACTTGGGATTTTATCTAAGGAAGTTAAGTGAAGATTTGAGGGGAGATAATTAGTTCAATTTGAAAGAGGAATTGGCTTAAAAAAAGTTTTACTATGGAAAATTTCAAACATACACAAAAGTATAGTAAATTCCCAGCTTCCACAGTTACCAACCCATGACCAATCTTATTTTATCTCTTCCTTAACAATGCTGTCCACCTTCTCCCTCAGATTATTTTTAAGCAAATCTCAGATGTTGTATTAATTCATGTTTCAATGTCTGTGTATATCTCTAATAGATTTTTAAAAAGAAAACCTAACCTCAATGCCATTTTTACACCTAAAATATCTTTACAATTTCTTAGTAGCCTTAAAAACTTAGTATTCAGATTTCCCTGATTGACTCATGAATTTTTTTTGTTTGTTCAAATCAAGATCCAAATAAGGCCCAGAAGCCAGGCATGATGGCTCACACCTGTAATTTCAGTGCTTTGGGAAACTGAGACAGGAGGATTGCTTGAGCCCAGCAGTTCAGACCAGCCTGGGCAACATAGTGAGATTAGCCAGGCATGGTGGTATATACCTGTGGTCCCAACTACTCAGGAAGCTGAGGCAGGAGGATCATGTGACCCCAGAAGTTGAAGGCTGCAGTGAGCTATGATTGTACCACTGCATTCAGGCCTGGGTGACAAAACCAGACTCTGTCTCAAAAAANAAAAAAAAAAAAAGAATGCCAACTAAGGTCCATATGCTGTAATTGATGGCTATGTCTTTTCATCCTTTTTTCTGAAAGTTCCACTCACATTTTTTTTCTCCCTTAGAATTTATTGCTAATGCATTGTTTGTCCTATAGGCTTTACAAGTCTAAATTTTGTTTTATCACCCCTGAGGTATCATTTGACATCACCTCCATCACTTACATTTCTTGCAGATTTGTAGATAAGTCTAGAGGCCTGATGAGAGTCAGGGTTTCTTTGGTTTTCTTTTTAGATAAAACACTACATACATCTTACTCTGAGGTATACTTCTCATAGGACAGGCAAGAAGAATGCTTGATTCTTTCTTTTTATTCACCACTTTTCAAGATAGCGAGTTGGTTCTCCAGTATCTTCTAAGAGTAACTGTTGACATCTGTTCATATTTGCAATATTATTATAAATTTATAGATTTAAATAAATTTAATGGGCTGGGTGAGGTGGCTCACCCTTGTAATTTCCAGCACTTTAGGAGGCCAATGTAGGTGGATCATTTGAGGTCAGGAGTTTGAGACCAGCCTGGGCAATATGGTTAAACCTCATCTCTACTAAAATATACAAAAAATTAGCTGGGCATGGTGGTATATGCCTATAATCCGAGCTACTGGGGAGGCTGAGGCAGGAGAATCTCTTGAACCCGGGAGGTGGAGCTTGCAGTCGGCTGAGGTCATGCCACTGCACTCTAGCCTGGGCGACAGAGCAAGACTCTGCCCCAATAAATAAATAAATTAATTAATTAATTTGATGTATTTCAGTCCCTTGCACTTATTATAATTGATGCAGCCATTGTTCCAACTTTGACAGTGGGAGCTTCTTCAAATGGGCTCCTGAGTCGTTTTTGGCATGACCACAGGAATGTTGGATAATTTTTTTGTTTTCTGGTATGGCAAGTGTTCCAGCCACATCTTGTACATTTCTTACCCCAGACCTTAAATTAGCCCTTTCTTCAAGAAGTGCTTTCTTTTAAATGGGAAGTCATATTTAGAGGCCACAACCTTGGTGTTAGGAGTCCTCCTGTAGCGGGTTGGCCATTGTTTTCTTTCAGTGGACAGAGCTTGTGTGTATGTGTACATGTGTGTGATGTATTCTATAGTATCCACAAGAGGGTTGTCCTATTAGGTTCTGCTAGCATTCCGACTCACAAGACTGCTATAGACCACATGCGACATCATGTTCACTTACAAGGACACAGGACAGGAAGCACAGCTTAACAGCAGATCAGCATCTGGCATCCCTCTTCAGTGGAAGTAATCCTAGCAGCAGTCCATGTACCTTTCCAGGACCTCCTACCCAGTCCCCAACCCCCAGACAATTCTAGTGTGAGGGAACAAGGCTCATGTCAAACAAATGGAAGATCTGCCTTGGCCTAGCAGCCTAAATACCCCATAGGAGCCTATATTTATTATAACTCCACAATCATAACTCTCAGAGTCTCTTCCAGGGAAGTCACCACATTCAGGGAAGCCCAAAGTTATGGCTTTCCATTAGGTATTTACAAATTCATAGATAGAATTCCCAGGCCAGAAGTAATTTATCAATGAGGTGTCATTTTTACCATAAGCAGCGTTGCCAGGTAATAAAATTGACACATCTTTGTCAAGTTTCCTGGAAAATAAAGGTAGGTAGAAAACTTTTTAAAGATAAAATACATCATGAATTATTCATACTGATACTTCTATTTATAATTCAGGACTGCAGAAATTTTACTTAACCTCATTAATCTTATATTTCCTTTTTCCTATGTCAAAAGTCCCGTGATCCTAATGATACCAGCATAATTACTCATTTGCTTTATCCCGTAATATACAGACAGCAACCTCAGAATAATAATACCAACAGTACCACCAACAAGATGATTACCTAAACAGTTCAAGATTTTGCCTTCAATTCTTTTTGTCCTTAGGCTGTATACCAGTGGGGATGCACATTTAAATTACTGTATCTCAAACACCTTGAAATAATTACTCTGTTGGCCTAGCTTGGTGGCACATGCCTATAATTCCATCACTTCTGGAGGTCAAGGCAGGTGGATTGCATGAGCTCACAAGTTTAAGACCAGCCTGGACACTGTGGCGAAACCCTGTCTCTGCAAAAAATATTTCTAAAATTAGCTGGACATGGTAGTCCACGTCTGTAGTCCCAGCTACTTAGGAGGCTGAGGTGGGAGGGGATGGCTTGAGCCCAGGAGGCAGAGTTTGCAGCAAGTCAAGATCATACCACTGCACTCCAGCCTGGGCAATAGAGCCAGACCTTGTCTCAGTTAAAAGAAAAAAAGGGTTACACTCTGTGTGGTTATTCCACATATGATGAACATGTTCATTTGTTTAATTTTGCTTTCAGTTTTTAGGGATTGCTTTTTAAATTTAATTTTGAAATTAATTGTGTAATTATAATAAAGCATTTTTAAGTTCCTAAAGTAAAATCTACAAAACAGAGTATATTCAGAGAAGTCTGCTTTCTATTCCTTTCACCTCAACCCTGTTCCTTTCCTAGGTAACCATTTTCTTTTAAATTAAGATGTTGGTTTATTCTTCTATTAAAAGATAAAGAAATAAAATATGCATATGATGTATGTATTCATATCCTTCCCTTTTTCTTGGATAGACAGTGCATGTTGTATATACTTTTCTCTGCTTTGCTTTTTTTTTTTTTTTTTTTTTTTTTATTAGTTTTTTTTGTGTGTGTTGTTTTTTTTTTTTTGCTTAATAGTGTATCCCAGTGTTTCCTTTGCATGGCGTTATATAGAAATACTCCTAATCGATTTTTACAACAGCAAATCCTCTGTTTTGTGGATGGGCCATAGTATATTCAGTCAGTGCCCTACTGATGGATATTTGGGTTGTCTCCAGTTCCTTGCCATTATGAATGGCACTCATATTTTAAAGTAAACATTTTGGTAATCACAGTCACATTTGCTTTGCTTTACTCGCCCATCTGTCTGGTTTGACTTCAGATCTGGAGTTGAATTTTGATGCTTCTCAGCCTGCACAAAGTCAAATGATGATTCTTTGTTTGATTTTACTACTGTTATAGGCAACAAGATTGATCTGGCTGAAAGGAGAGAGGTCTCCCAGCAGCGAGCTGAAGAATTCTCAGAAGCTCAGGACATGTATTATCTGGAGACCTCAGCCAAGGAATCTGATAATGTGGAGAAACTCTTCCTTGACTTAGCATGCCGACTCATCAGTGAAGCCAGACAGAACACACTTGTGAACAATGTATCCTCACCCTTACCTGGAGAAGGGAAAAGCATCAGCTATTTGACTTGTTGTAATTTCAACTAAAGGCTGAGGCACAGAGAAGCAAAAGGAATCAGCGACTGCCCTGATGGGCCACGAGATGCTGGGGAGATCTGGCGATGACTGTGGCTCCCGCTCTCAGACCTTCTGACTCCTGTGGGCTCCTGAGCTTACAAAAAGCATGGCAGGCCAAGGGCCTCGACCACAGGCCAGCATTAGCAGAACATATAATGGTTTCACCCTTTTGCAGTCTGGAGTTGGAGCAAGGAGAAAATTGCACTAGGCACTCCATGATCTGCAGAGCATGTTGCTTTTGTTTTTTTAAAAAGCAAGTAAAAGCGCATTCCCGAACAGAGTCCAGGGGGAAATGTACTGTAGGGATCCCTCCTGCACATCAGTGGGTGCATGTGGGAGCTGTTCTTTAGGGCTTCGGTGGTAATCTTCTGGGGGCCCTGGTTTTCTTGTCTACCAGATAAACCAAAACTGGGAAGGCCAAGTACAGTCTCTGTGGTACGTCTTGATGACCCCATGGAGATTTTGCAAAGTGTTATTTCTCTTGTCCACAGGCACTTTCAAGAACTTTGGGATGTAAAAATGAAATGAAACCTTTACCCATGACCAACAGTAACAATCATTGTTTTAATAATATATACAAGCTCCATGACTCCTTTTGGTGCTAATGATTCTGCTATTTCACAGACCAAACGTTTTAGTACATTGATGTCCTTAAATGTATTATATAGAAATAAAAAAATGGGGGAAGACCATGAATCAGCACTCTTTCTCAAAGTCTCATTACTACCTTTTTAAAGGTGGATTTTTGGGAAAAGAGAATACTTTTCCTTTTATGTTCCCCTCTGAATCTCTACCATTCTGCTCTCTTGTCTCTCCAGCCCTTTAAGTAAATGAAAAAGTTTGCAAACTGAAAAATAAATAAATAAATAAATGTTTTTGATGATATTCTAATATAAAAGCTTAGCTCTAAGACATTTTGAGTAGTATGAGGAAACAGACCAGATATGACCAAAATACTGTGGATTAAGGGACTGTAGTGCAGGGCTCCAAGCAGAGCACAGTCCTTGATAGTAGGTCACATCTTTTACTTCCTGGTACTCTCCATCTTGGACAGACCAAGGCTTAGGATTTTGTAGATTTTTTTAGTATGATAAGTGAGAATAGCAACAGATGAAAAGTCTCACGACCCATTTTTATATCTTTGATGATAACCTGAGAAAAATTCTGCTTGTGGAAGCAGATCGAACTATCATTTTTTCCCCTCCTTCTTGTAATAATGTTACCCTCAGATGCTTAACCATACATTCTTCCTTTTTTCTTTCTCTTTTCCTCTGTTTTTCTGGTCTCTCCTTTTCTTCTTCCCTCCTTCCCTCCCTCCCTCCCTTTTTCCTTCCCTCCCACCCATATATGCATGTGTTACTGCGAATCTCCAATTCAAATGGAGGTGTATATGCCTTTACTTAGCCAATTTTAAAACAGGACTCAAAATGGAAGATGTGCTGCTGAATATATGTTTCTGTTTCTTCAGTGCCATACTTTGATAGCTTCCAATTTGTTCACTGATATAAATGCAAATTGGGAAAATAATTAAGCCTGTATGCTGTTGATGCTGTCAGATGTTTCTGTAGCTTGCTGCTTAGCATAACTGAGGGATGAGTAATGGAATAAGGATATGATGTGTAATTCCACTGTTGCTGTAGATGGTGACAATCTCAGTCCTGATATGTTGATGTTTGAAAGCTATTTAATTGTAAAGAAATGAGTCATGTAGAAACATGTTCATAAAGCATTTCTAGCATTTCTCTAGCAGATTCCAGATTGACCAGTCTCTTGCACATGGGATTATGCATATTTTTTAAGGGACTGATAACTTTTGATTGGCCTCACTGTGTTTTCCTGATCCTGTGGGAAAGAGAAAGGGATCCCAGAAGTTTGTTTTTCTTTTAGAATCAGTCTCTGCAGGAAAGGAAAGTCATTTTAATAAAACCAAAATAATTTATAATAATTGTTGCCTTTCCCTCCCCATCCTCTCCACTAAGCCAGCAACTAAAGGTATTCAGAAATCAAGTTAATCAAGGTGGGTAAAATAACTTTTTTAAACTGGAAGGAAATGTTCCTAAGTTTAGATTCATTACCTGTCATTTAGGGCAAAAATCCAGTGCACCCAGCACATTATGACCCAACTTTGTCTCACAGTAGCAAGTGCTGAAAATAAAGTTGCTTTGTGAACTTAGAGGAAGTGGCTGTGTTAGATTGGACTGATTTGATTGCAGAATAACACCTTTTAGGGCCACACTTATGTTATTCACTAGGGGTTAGTCTTCTCTGTATATCCATGGCCAGACTGGGAATGGGATTAAAAAGCTGTGAGGTCTTGGCCTCTTTCTTCCCTGTTGCTCCTCCCAGCCTTTCTATAACTTACCATCCATGGCCCATCAGCAGAAACACATGAGAATGTGGGACTTTGTTTCTTTTTTTCTTAGTTGTGTGAATTCCAGATTAGGCCTTATGGATGCTTGTCTACTAATATATCTCAAGTTTGAAAACAATCCCTGACAATATTGTAGGTGCAATAGATATTAGTCGAATAAATATTTAAGTGCCAAGATCAGGGGGAGGCTTTTTTTGATTAAACAGAAATCCCTTTAAGTAGAACTTAATAAAGGACACTAATTACAGTCATCTTAATCCAGGCCAGGACCTAAATTTATTGGTTTGCCTAACAGTCTTATTGCCATGGCAGTATTTGCTAAGATGAGTCTTTAGATAAAAATGAATTCTCATTTAGCGGTGGATGAAAAAAGAGAAATTGCTTTATCATAGTTTAATTCGGCTTTGGTCTGCTAAGACTACCAGGGTTCGTGTATTCCTCCATTTTTGGTGTGATCTTTTTCTTCTTTCAATAAAGTTATTAAATATATGGCAAAACTTTTTTAGTTTCCAATGAAAAATGCATGATACTCATGTCATGGAATCAGGCTTGGGGAAATCTATGAAATAAAAATTTGCTGATAATGATATTTCATTATGGCTTTGTGTAGACTATATCCTCAAAGGATTTTGTGCTTCTTTGCCCATAGAAGGCTTTTTCTCCCATTGTATGCTTTTATTAAATCTGTTGAATTATATTAATATTTTTTGAATTTGCATGGCCAATTACTTTTTAGTGGATTACTTACATTAGGCTGTGGGCTCTTCCTGGCCTTTCTTGTTCCCAGTCTTTTAATCATTTCATGTTTTTATCTCTCCCTGAGTAAAGTGGCAAGAAAACTAAAATGAAAGTTAAATAGATTGATTTGACAATGTGTCTGTTCTTATTTAGAGTTTATAAGGAGGGTAGAAATCATTGACCAAAATAAGATTTTTGGATCAAGATTATTTACTTTAAGCCATTTAGACTTGTTGGCCAGAGACACCACATTTAACAAAGGACTGGGTTCTTAACTTCTTTCATTCATGAATATATATACCTCGGGAGGACACTGGTGACAGAGTTATGCCAATGATTTGCCATATTACCCTCTAAGCTAGCCCGTAATTCTACCAGATCTCACACCAAGTTTCAGGTCATGACTCATACTGAGTAAATATCAGTTGTAAATGGTTTTGAATTGGTCTTCCTACTAAAGTGAAACATCTCCCTTTAAACCAAGCCACATGAATGAAATATCATAATCAGAAAAAAAGTTTCTTTTTTTTTTTTTTTTTTTTTTCATAGCAAACCAATGGCCTTCTCCACTAAGCCAGCAACTAATGGTACTCAGAAAACAAGTTAATCAAAGTGGGCAGAACTTTTTGAACTGTGAGGAAATGTTCCTAAGTTTAGATTTATTACCTGTCATTTAGGCAAAAATCTAATTTTTTTTTTAAATTTCTTAATCCTGTAGAACCCTGTATTTCATGGTAATGAGTATTTAGGGATCATTGCTCTATTAGTCTCTGGGAGAGATCGTCTAGGGTTTGCCATTTCTTTTTTTCTAGAATTTTGTTGTTGTTTTAACTGCAACTGGTTACTTTTCTCAACCGTGGTCCTGACATGTTTATACTATGATGCTTTTGAGACTTAGCTAAAGAATTAAAAGCCGTAAAACAACATTTGCTTCTCATCCTTCAGTCAAATGTGTTCCATTTAAGCAGTATGGTTAAATACTAATTTTGGGATATGTTTTCTTTACTTTCTTTTTGGATTTCATTTCTGTGACATGAGCCTATTTGTGTTTGGAAGGAAAGATGCCTTCCTTTACATTCTTCACACTGGTAATTTTTTCATACTGAACTAAGAAATTATCATCCCTTCAAAACACATTAATATAGCAATGTTAGAGTAAGGGAGATGGCATTTCATTTCCTCTCCTTAGTTCCATTACGTTGGAATGTTATTGTCATTTCCAGAAGCCATACTTTGAAATTAAAAACAAATTGAGGCATTACCAGCCCGCTGAAAGGATTTTATTTTTTTATTTTTTTTTCGCCACTCCCCTCCCCTGAAGGAATTTTAAATGCAAGACATTTAAAGAATATTTGAAGGATTTGGGGAGATTTTGGTTAGGAAAAAAAGGGGACTATAATTAGTGCATTAGAGCAAGATGCTCTGTGGTTCAGAGGTGGAATGAGGCCCACTGAATGAGGCTGTAGGGACACAGATTTGGGTTCCATGTCAGGGAGACAGTTCTCAAAAAGTTGGTTCACTATGGGACAGGTTGCTTCAGGTAATAGCCTCTGTCAAGCAGAGGCTACGTAAGAGGCTGGCAAAGATGTGGAGAGGATCCAGTTGGTTGGAGACTGGAGCAGGTAACTTATTAACCTAAATTCCATGTTGTGTGTAGTATTTTGCCCCTCATAACATGTTTGATTAAATATTTGTTAATCCATAGCTAATGATTTTTTAAATGGGGCCTTGTTCTTCTGCCACAAGTGCATCCCACCTTCATCTTTCAGGGAAGAGGTTGGTTGCATGTTGTTAGGCCAAGAGACTGGCCCTCCATTATGCCCCATGGTGGACTTGCCTTGTCAGTCCATTCACTGATGTCCTGTTGAAATCACAAATTGGTTCTTGAGTTAAAAATATTGTTTTAGTAGAAGTTACATGAAATTATTTATCACTTGCCAAACATAGGCCTTTAATAAATAATGGGTGTCTCCTTCATGATTTTAGGATAGGCCTTTTTAGCAGAGCAGAATCTTCTGTTAAAGTTCTCACAAACAGACCAACATGAAGTTTTGCAGTTCCCAAGAGAGACGGGCTGGTGGGTCACTGATGTAAAGCAGTCCACAAGATCTATTTTAGAAAAGTCTCAATGACATTTCCTTAGTTTGTTTGATTTTCTTGAGAATACATGAGTTTAGCTCATCGATAGGCTGAGGAAAAAAAAATTTTTTTTTAAAAAGAATACATGAGTTTAAAAGAACTTTATGTAGAAAGCAATAAAAACAAGTATTTTTGACTTGAAAATCAGAGGTAACTATAAGCAATTTACATTGCTTATATATATAACTATAAGCAATTTATATTGCTAAATAACTTTCACACTTGCTAGGCTGATAGATGGCTTTTCATTGATCTTTTTTTTTTCTTTTTTTAAGTCATGGTCTTAAATCAGTATGGTGAGAAATCTGTTTGTGTTTGGGTGAGACTTCTTTGACTCCTTTGGACAAGAGGTCAGAGCACAAAAGCTAGTCACCACTTTGACTTCTTGAGGTATGAGCCAAAATTTTACTTTCCCATTAATTTAAAGCAGAATTTTTGAAGATGCTGAGTTCTAGTTCCTTATGGAATCTTTGGTGGGTGGTGACTTTGACAGTTCAGAGTGATGTGGCGAGTGATATGGAAGGGAAAACACTAGGTGTGAGGAGACCTAGTATGCCACAAATTGGCTGCGACTTTAGGCAAAGCACAATATTTTGAGCATCAATTTTTTTCATCTATGAGATAGACCTGTCAGGATTGTTGCGAAAATTAGATGAGATAAATTGAAAGTACAATGCTTGGTAAATAGTAAGCACTCAAATATTAGTTCTTTTTCTCCTTAATTAAGAGCAGACATTGAATGGTCTGATGCCAAGTGAGATCCTTAAGAGACAAAACAAAGAAACTTTCCTAGCTTCAAAGAAAAGAACTCCATTTCTGAAAGGGTGCCTTAAAAGGAAGTCATTAATTTGATCCATCCTTTTGCCTTTGGGCATTACTGTCACCCTCCATTTCTTTACATACTTCAGGAAAGGTGGTCTCTCTCCCAAAAGGCAATTCCAGGATTGTAAACTCATTATCAGGAAACTTAATCTTAGAACTGAAATACCTCACAGTGCAATTTAAACCTCTTTCTTCTTGATCCCATTCTTCATGGGAAGAAAACTGGGTGGATCCCTATCTTCTTTTTAAGGAGCCACATTTGCCATTTATCATTGCTGTTTTGCCTATTAAAAAAAACAGTCAAAAAAAGCTCATTAAAATGATAATTATTTACTTAGTGTATGTCAGGATAGGTATTTATTACTCTTAGCTTCTTATTGGTATCAGATGTAGATCATAGTCTTATTGTTAACTCTTCAGTTATATATATACACTTTCTTTAGTTATATAATTGATAACAAAGTGTGCTTCTGAAGAATTATTCTGGTTGTATGGCTCTTGTTTCCTCCCCTTCGTTAAAAATGGAGTCATGAATCTCAGTTTTGTGATCTGCTTTTAATTTCATATATGACATTTTTTGATGCCCATAATTACTAACATCCAAAAGGGTTTCTTCCCCTTTCTACATGTGCACTAAGTTCTAAAACAAAAATTGGAATACAAAATACCTAATAAAGCAAAAATTCATGTACACAAAAGCAAAAGATAATCTAGTTTGTTAAGATAATTTGTCACTAACTGGTTGAGTAACGCACAGTTTTTGTTTAAAATTACACAGTTAAGCCTGGATTAATTAACAATAGTAAAACTTGACAAGTCTTTTGAAAAACAGCTGCTAAACATATTGCTTTCTGGAATGTAATCATTAGCAACAAATTTTCTCTTATCCTATACAATTGCAAAATGCTAGTGGAACTTTCTTGTAGGCTATTTGACAATGAATGTTAATTGAATTATTTTTAAAAAATGTAAAATCCTTTGGTTCAATTCATTCACTTCAGAGGACAGTAAAAATCTAAAAAAAAAAAAAAAAAATCCTCTTATCCCTTTAAAGCCTGTTTACGCTTTCATGTCCCTGTTGTGGAAAATTTCAAATGCTGGCTTCTAATTTCTACTCACTGAAGTGTCTTCCAGACATACCAGATGGTTGGAGCTCCTTTGATAGTACATAAGGGAGCTATATAAATGTATTTGAACTAACTCATAAGCAAAATTTCTGTTTTCAGAAAAAAAGAAAAAAGAAACTGCTCAAAATTTTGATAATACAGGAGTAAAAAGAGTTTTTTGATAATCTGAAGGGAAAAAGTGTGACCCATATATCTTGTACACACTTTTAATGCATGAATTTTAGTATAGAGATGAAATAAAATGCAAAATATATAATTCTGAAGCTCTTAGCAGCTAGTTAAAATATTTAGAAAAGCTGCTTTATGAAGACTTAGAGAATCCTTGATCTCCCCACCTTTCCTATCACTCCATTAAAACATGGATCTTTAATATTAATAAACACATAGTTTTAACTAATAAACAGGTTAATTACTGAGTTTTATGAACTCAATTCTTCATATTTGCCTATTGGTTTTAAGCATAGGATATCAGTATTATTTGTATACAGCAGTATATAAAATTTAACCAACTTCAATATAAGAATAGTACTTGATTTTAAATGTTAATATGCAAATATTAACAGTATACTACATCATATTTTATGTGTTCATATACTGATTTTGTTTTACTTAACAAAAAGTCTATTAGAAATATAACCCACTGTTGACCTGAGTCCAATTAGCTGAAAACGTTCTATAGAAAGATGACTGTATGAAAAATTCAATCAACATTAAAAAAGGGAAGTGAGGAGGGAACAGAAACTTTAACAAAATATTCTTAAACGAAGAAGTTGCATCTCTTTTTAAAATTAAGATACAATGGGTGCGCCATACAGTTCACCCTATTAAAGTGTAAACTTCAATGTTTTTAATCATATTCACTAAGTTGTGCAACATCACCACTGCCTAACTTCAGAACATTTTCATCACCTCCAAAGAAACCCCATACCATTTGCAATCACTCCTTCTCCTCCTTCCCCCAGCATCTTGCAACCACGAATCTACTTTCTGTCTCTATAAATTTGCCTATCCTGGACATTTCATATAGTCAAACAATATTGTGGCCTTTTGTGTCTGGCTTCTCTAAATAAGCATAATGTTTTCAAGGCTCATCCATGTTGTAGCATAAATCAGTACATTGTTTTCATGGTTAAATAATATTTCATTGTATGTATATGCCACATTTTATTTGTCCATTTATCATTTGCTGGACATTTGGGTTGTTTCCACATTTTAATTATAATAATGCTGCTATAAACATTTATGTAAAAGATTTTTGCATGGGTTATGTTTTCACATCTCTCTTAAAAACAATTAGTCCAACAAATCAAATCATTTATGTTTATTTAAGTAGAATCTCTTGCAATTCTATTTGGAGAGTGCAACTTATGATCTTGGTGTAATTGATCAATTAGGAGACCCCTGAATAAAGACTAACTCCCCAATATATCCATAAGAATTTTTCTATAAGCCTGTCATTTAGACATGATAATCATTGTCATGAAGACTATTTTAGTCTTGCAGAAATTGTCATCACACGGAGGATTTCTTGTCCTCTGCATTGTAAAGGACAACTACAAATCATGCTGGAGAAGAGTACTCATTAAATCTTTTAGGATTCAATGAAGTAGCATTTTAAATATGTAAGTTATTTTATATATTGTCTGTCTTTTAAAGTTTGGACTTTACTTGTTGAAAAAAGTTTGTCAGATCGCCAAACCACATGACTGTCCATTCATTGTAGCTTATGTTTTTATTATTAAGGAATAATTCATACTGAAAGTAAAAGAATGTATTTTGTGTGCAAAGGATGAATGTATTAAAAACTTTTTATTTGTAACAATTTTTTTAAAA